CTAAATATTCAGTATTATAAGTATTTTATGAATATAATTATGATTCAATAAATATTTATTTTGCTTTAATTTCTACCATGTGTTTACACCAGATATAAAACTATACATATATTTTTAGATGTTCTTCATAAGCCAAGGAAAGGAAAAAGGAAAAAGAGGTAGAGGTGGAAGAAGGATGAGCTGCATGTAGTAGGAAAAGACAAATTAATCTGCTGGTCCAGTGGTCCTCAAATTTCACTGTAAGAATCACCCAGAAGCCTTAAAAAAAGCTGACTCTTGGGCTTCACTCCCCTATTCTATGGTAACATGTCTGAATGAATCCAAAGTCTGATGGTATTCAAACAAATTTCTGACTGTTTGTGACACACACTGGGAAAAGTTGCCAAATCACTTCTTCAGGCACAAGTGAGCTGGAGATCATGGGCTATATGTGTTTACTTACCACGGAGCTTGGTTAAGGTCTAGTAATGAATGATCCAAGGCTAATGCAGCCTGGTGCTGTTGGCTCCTCACATCCATGTGTTATAAAAGCACTGCTGACCTGTAGGGGCAGTTGGCTCAGTTGTACCCTAGTGTCTGAGGAGCACTTCTTTTTCAGCCATCTCAAATTTTCTCCTCTTGCTGCCTTGATTCTGTGTACAAGACCAGCATTCAGCTGGTCAGACTCCTGCAGGTAAGGCTGCCATTTGCCTCTCTGGAGGATTCGTCTATGATTTGTCCAGATGATTTGTGGTGACACTGTCATATATACTGAGTTATGCCATGAGGCTTTCTGCTGATGGAGTGTGTGCTTTTGAGCAGAACATGCCCTTTATAAATCTTTTTTTTAACAAAAGCTTCAAAAATTTGTTTCATTCATTGAAGCTCATAGCAGTGTCCTCATATCAATAAACTTTGTGCAGGAAAGAGGGGTTGCTTGATGTACTCCTCTGTCTTTGAAAACCACTGAGCATAGGGCCATCTATCCATCCAGTAAAGAGCTTTAATATTTTTTCAGGCAACTCTATAAATTATAAAAGGATAAATGAAAGTAGCAATAATCCAACATCCACTATTTCCAGAATTAAAAAGGCTCATGAATGATGGCAGTCAGGTAACATAGAACTTGCCACTCTCCTCTGCTACCATGGGCATTTTGATTGTTGAAAGCTTTATGCTAGCGCCATCCAATAGAACCTTCAGGAATGATGGAAAATATTCCATAATCTGTAAATCCATTGTTTTCCACAAGCAGCTATAGAGAACTTAGTATGTGGCTGGTGTGACTTAGGAATTAAAAGATTATTCAATTAAATTTAAATTTAAATGGCTATGTAGTTAGTAGCTACTATATGAGGCAGTGTATCTTTTAACTATCCAGCAGATATTCCTTAAAGGTTTGAGTTAGTTTTTAAGAAGCCCAGCCAGGTTGAGTTTACAAAAGTGGTCTTATTTATTATAAATATAATTCCTTTCTTCTAATCATGCTCCCAAAACTTGAAAAAATTATCACAATTGCAACTAGGTATTCATACTTTGAGTCTAAAAGATGGTTCTAATTTGTTTTTCATGTTTTCTTTTTAATCATCCACTGTTCTATAGTATTGGTACTCTGTTTCCTCTCTTTCTTTATTTTCCCCCAAGTTTCTTCAGCACTTTAATGCCTTTCTGTTCCCATAGGTTCAAGATATATTATTGAGTGAAGCATGAAGTTCACAAAATCATATGTATTGTTTCATTGGATATGGTAAAAATTCCCTTTTTACTAGGTGGGATTACTGTTGATTTTTATTTTCTTCTTTTAACTTTGTTTTATCAATTCTCTACAGTATTTATGTAATATTGCTATTATTTCATAATTTTAAATTATTAAAGTAAAACTTTTAAATTTTTAATTCTCTCCTTCATAACAAAGTTCTTGTAACTTCTACTTTCTTTTTCATTTAGTCTTCTTGTGAATATGCTCAGGAGCTCTCCATGGACCCAAGGCCTCATAAAATACAAAACAAAAAGAACTGGATGGTGGGAGGGGAAGGAGAAAGGAAAGAAGGGAAAGGAAAAATTATGAGAAAAGAAAAAGATGGAAACGAAATCTATGTAAATAGGGAAGGGTGGAGGGGGTGAAGGGCACACAGGTAATGGGAAAAAAAATAAGAATCAAGATACATCATGTAAAAGTACAAGCACCCAATGATAAATGTAAATGTTATATACCTAAAATGTACCATTAAAAGAATTTAAAAAAAAAGAACTGGAAAAGAGATACAAAGTACATTAAATTTTCTTTTATTCACACATTGAGTCATTTTATTATCTTTTAGGTCTTGAAAAAATAGCTGTGTCTTTCTTTTCATATGGGCATTACAATATGTATTTTATTACAGCCTCTATAGGGCCAGGCCAAGTAAATTGCCTTGAACTGCACAGAAGTATCTTGGACTCTAAACCTCTAAAAGAGGGGGGATAAGGCACCTTTTCCTCTATACCCAAATGTTTTCAAGAGGCAGAACACAAACTGTAGCTCCCTCCACCAACCACATATGAAATAAGCAAGAGAATTCCTAGAACATTTTGCAAAATCATGAAGAAATAAAGACCTTTATGCATCAGTGAAACCAGCGCTGGTGAGGGTGAGAGTTCTAGGCTGCTGCATTTTTGAACTCACTGCACTAAGTCCATGAAATGATTTACTTCCTGTTGTATATAAATGAGCAAAATCACACTTAATTTTACATGCCTCACAGTGATATCATTTCTATGCTAGTTCTACTGCTTGCAATTTAAGATGGAGAAGGCTTATCTGAATTCATTTCTTAGATCATTGCTTTGGTGCTTTCAAGATTTTATCCAAGCATGACTTTTATAACCTTGTGGAAATTGCAGTGATAAAGGATGTATCAGCAATTTTCAAACCCATTTCTTTCTGTGAAGCCATCTCTTAGCCTCCCTTACTAACAGAGCAATGGAGAAAACCACAGGTCTTTTTCACTGTCTTCATTTTTAAGGAGCTGTGTTTTGGTCAATGAAACACACACTATGGAAAAAAGGCCAACACAAACTTTGTGCTGTCTTTTCACTGCACAGCTAACTAACCTTGATTAGATATAAAGTAAGAGGCTGGTCTGCCATTTTATCCCATAAAATTGTTTTCAGAGGAATTGGTTGTAATGGAAATGTCAGACCCTTTAAATGCTAAACCTTTAAATACTGCACAGGCATATGGATATGAACATAACTTTGCCCATGCGTACATTTTTCTGTGCCATGTGTCAGAACTAAAGAAAATGAGATAGGGAAATAAGCTAATGTTCTGGAAAAAATGACTGAAATAATTCGATATGATGAATGGATGGACCCCAACTGCTTCATCTTTTTTTTCTTCTTCTTCATCTTTTTGGTAAGGTCTACTCTTACAGCTGGGAGGCCTTAGATAAGTCATATAATTCTGTCAAGCCTCAGACACACATGTAATTAGCAATTAGATATTCCTCTTAGAATTGTGGTTAGGAATATATGAGGTGATGCATTGAGCAAAGTCTAGTAAAGTGTCTAATAAAGGTTCCATTTCTAGTCTTCTCAAAGTCAATTATTCTACCCACTATTCAATCCTTTACTTTTACTCTTCAAAATGTCAGGCAAAAAAAATCAACAATAACTTTGATATTTTCTCTTGTAGTTCTGAGTTTTTATGTGGAATTTCCATCTGTCCTTAAGCTCCTGGATTCAAATTTGATATATGTCTTCTTTTGTCGTATGATGGTATTAGAGCTGAGAACTGGGACTCTCTTCGGTCCCAGATTTATCCAGTCCTTAGGGACAGAGGTCCTAAAAAGTCATTTGTAATGTAGGAATGATGTCTTTTATGTTGTTCTGATCTGACACCTCATATTATGAAGCATGTCACCTGTGTGACACTGTGTACCTCACTTCAGCAGTGGTATTACTGAAAATAGTGATGATGATGATTATAATACTTTAAAAACATATATTGAACATGTATTATATGTCAAGATCCATTCTAAGAACCATAATGGAAAACAGGATGGAGGTTTCTCAAATAAAAACAAAATCTGTATGATCTAGCAATGTTGCTTCCGGGTATATATCCAAAGAAAACGAATCAGTATGTTGAAGAGATCTCTGCACTTCTAGTCTCATGGAAGTGTTATTCACAATAGTTAAGATATGAAATCAACGTAAGTGTCCACCAACAGATGAATGGATACAGAAATTGTTACACATAAACACACACATATGCACACTGGAAAATGATTCAGCTTTAAAAAAGAAATAAATCTGTCATTTGCAAAAATATGGGTGAACCTGGAATGCATTATGTTTAGTGAAATAATCCAGAAACAAAAAGATGAATGGTAGAGGATCTCATTTCTACCTGAAATTTTTTTAAAAAATGAAATTATAAAAGCGGGAAGCAGAATAGTGCTTACCAGGGCCTGGGGGTGGAATAGGAAATGTGAAGATTTTGGTCAGATGATATAAAATTTCAGTTAAGTGAAATGAATTCTGAAGATCTATTCCACATCATGGGGGCTGTTATGGCTTGTGTCTAGATGTCCCCCCAAAGCCTCACGAAGTTGTGAGGTGGGGCTAATCTGGAGGTTGCTGAACCTAGAGTGTATGGTGCTGGGATTAAGAGCCTGTGATTACTAAACCACTACACATGACTGAGTGGTTGGTTTGGCACCACCCTAATCCTGGTAGTCTGAGTAGGATAAAAGGGGCAAAAAGATGCTGTTAAGGTCTCTTGTTGCTTTTGTTACTGTGTGGGTGCCATGAACTGTTTCTCCTCTGCGACACTTCTCTGCCATGAGCCACTTGGCCTTGGAGCCAGCCAATTACAGACTGAAACATCTACAAACTGTGAGCTAAATAAACTCTTTCCCTTTTTAACTTTTGGTGTGAGGTATCTCTTCTCAGAAACAAGAGAAAAGTAACTAACACAGGGACTGTCATTAGTATTAAGATGTATGTTTGCAAATTGCTAAGACAGTAGATTTTAAATATTCTTATAAAATGCTAAGAATGTGAGGTGATAGATTTATTAATTAGGTTCATTTAATCATTCCACTATGTATATACATATCAAAATATCACATTATAGCACAAATACATATAATTTTCATTTGTCAGCTATGTTACAATAAATCTGAGAAAAAAGATTTATTATACTATAACATTATTATGTTATTCAGTGCTTCCACAAACCCTATAATTATTGATTTTTTCTTTCATATTGGGGGGGGATCCATTTCAGATCCTTGAAAACACTAAGTTTATGCTCAAACATTGAACTAAAGCCCAGGATTGTAAGTATTGGCACTAACATCTGTAATTTGTTGATGAGGAAGAAGACTGATTACAAAGCTAATGAATAATCTAGATAGGATTAGAATGCTCATCCCTTTAACTTCAGCTCCTGTAATTTTAACCACCACACCTGAGGCCTCAGGCAAGACAGGGAAGGATAATTATGATTATGATGATGATGATGGTGGTGGTGGTGGTGGTGATGATGATCATATCAGCAGACATTCATTGAGTACTTATGGTGCTAGACATTGTACTAAGTACTTTCCATTTATTTTGTCGTCTAACTTCTACAATACTTCAGTGTGGTGGTTTCTATTACTATAATCATTTAACTTAGGAAAAAACTTACTTAAATACACTAAATAAATGCCTAAAGGCCACAGGGCTAGCAAGTAATGGAGCTAAGATTTGAATCTAAGTCCTGTATGGATTAAGCCAGTTTTTGTCATATAAAAAATTGAATAATAGAACCTGGACAGCAGGTGTTGATTAAAAAGTAGGGCTAGTATTTATCTGCACTTGTTCTATATTGAAATAAACAATTGTTGACACACTCCCCATTGATTTATGGTCTTTGTCAGAGAAAGGAATCTCTGTTTCCAAACGAGCACTGAGGATGCATTAAGCCTAGAGAGTAGAAGCTCTTTATCACTAGTGAGACTTCTAGATTCTTCAGTCTTCTCTTTCTCTTGGCCTAAGCTAAATGCTTTGAAGTGGGTCATGTTTCCCATGTAGGATGAGATGATGTCCACTTGCTAACTGTTTTCCACCCTTGCTTCAATTATCAAGGTGAGAGGTCTGAACCTTCACTCTTTAAGGGAAGTGACCTAGCTACATGTGTTCAGCAAAATGAGGCTTTTGACACTTGCCAGATGTTAACAATAATTACTCATCACTTGTCAAGCTACTCTTTTTCAGGGAAAAGACAGTAAAGGAAGCGCATAATGCTTTTCAACCTGTAGCAAATGTTCTAAGGCTAGGGATTCAGCTCAACAACTCAAAGTGGGACTGTGGATGTGTCCTACGCAGATCTCCTCAACATACACAGGATTACGTGATGCACATGTTTGAGCTGCAGGGAAAGTCTTCACTTGGCCCATATTCTCAACACTAGGACAAAATGTCCAACACCTGTAAGTTAAAGGAGGAAATGATTTTTAGCTCAAAGTTTCAGAAGTTTCTGTCCATGGTTAATTCCCTCCAAGGCAGAAACGGTATGGTGGAAGGGCCAGATGAGGAAAAGCTGCTCTTCCCATGGCAGCCAGGAAGCAGAGAGTGAAGGGAGGAGCCAGGGACAAGAATACACCCAGGTCACAACTCAGTGACCCACCTGCAACCAGGCTCCACCGCCTCACAGAACATTCAGCCATGAATTCATGGAGGGATTTATCTTCTTGTAGCACTCCCATGATGCAATCACCTTATAAAAGCCCCATCTCAAAAATACCTGAGACTGGACAGGGGATTTAGCTCAGTGATTTGACCGCTTGCTGCACAAGCACAAGGACCCGCGTTTGATCCCCAGTACCAACCCCCCCCCCAAAAAAAAAACCTGAGACCTTTTTTTTTTTTTGGTACTGGGGACCAAACTTGGGTCCTTGCACTTGTGCAGCAGGTGAAACTTGAGACTTTTGAGGGACATTTTAGATTAAAACTGTATGGGCCAAGGTTGTAGCTCAGTGGCGATGCATCTGCCTCGTGAGCACAAGGTTCTGAGTTCAATCCCTGGTACCAAAAAACAAACAAACAAAACAAAAAACAACAATCTCCCAAAAAACTAAAACTGTAATAATTATCATCTGCATAGAT